GAAGATCACCATGAGTTCAAGGCCAGCCTGGGCTACTGAGTGAGCTTACTGAGACCTTGTCTCAAAACAAACAGGAAAACAAAGAATCCAAACTGTTGCACCTACCCAAGGACTTTCTGTTTCCATTGGTCTGGAACCATAACAGAGCCTATGAACGTGCCTCTCTATAAGCTGTCAGGTGGTGCTGATTCCAACTTCAGACACCAGGACAATTTACAGTCTACTCTTCCCCATCCATGAATGATGACACAAATCCCTTCTGTAAATTTTATGTTAACTCTTTTTTTTTTTTCTGGTACCAGGGATCGAACTCATGACCTTGCGCTTGCCTAGCAGGTGCTTATGCTGCTGAGCTAAATCCCTGGCCCTCTTTTCTGTAATTTTTAATGTTTTGTTTTGTTGAGATAGGGTCTCCCATGTGACTCAGTCTGTCCTTGAACTCACTGTATAGCCCAGACTAGCCTTAAACTCTCAGATATACTCCTGCCTCAGCCTCCTGAGTGCAGGGATTACAGGCATGCACCACCAGATCCAGCCAAGAAAATTATTCTTATTGGTATTTTTTATTTAAACCATTAATATTTAGGTGGTCATGTAGGCTAAGACTGGAGGATCGCTATGAATTGGAAGCCAGCCTAGGCAACAACAGAGTGAGTTCAAGAACAGTCTGAATGGCATAACAAGGTCCTGTCTCAAAATAATAATAATAATAAATAACTTTCAGTATTTATTATGTACCCTTGAAAACCACATGTTGTCTATTGAACTGGATGATTAGTTTTAAATGATGGGTTTTAAAAAACATAAATTAAATAAAATAACATGATGGGTCTGCATTTCTCTCTCTGCCCCCACAGGAATTCACAAGAGCTTTCTGGGCATGCACAATTGAGACAAAACCCACGCCCACGCTGTGCATGCACCTCCAAGTCCCTTCTGCTGGGCTATCTGAGCCAGCCACTCTGCCGCAGTGTCTGTGCGCTGCAGACCCATCACCAAGGAGCGACGTCCCTGGTCAGGGGAGCCCTGTCCACGCTGGCTCTTGCGCTTTGCAGCCCCCAGCTTCTGACAGGAGCCTGCGTCTTCCACTCCATTTACCTGTCGGGCGGGCTGATCTGCCTGGGCTGCAAGTCCCCATTCCAGCTGGGCAGTTGGTTTGCTGGCCGCTGGGAGCACAGCAGGTGAATTCCCACCCCAAGGGAACTCAGGAAAGGTACACCCACCCACATTGCACCCACACAATCAATCCAAAAAGGGAAAATTAGCTGGGGATGTAACGCAGGGCAAGGTCCCTTGCCTCAAATGTGCAAGGACCTAGGTTTAACCCCCAGGACCACAAAAGAAAGAAAAAAAATAGAAATGACTTTTTTAAGGTATGCTATATACATGCTATACGCACTCCCACATGGAATGTAATTATTAGGTACTGAAACGTGTACTAATCAAATTAAAATTTTAAAAAGACAGAAAATTGAAGTCAACCTGAAGCAATCATTCTCAACAGGGCATAGATCTTATTCCCATTGTGGAGTTGAGGGTGAGACTGGCAAAATCTAACAACATTAAAGGAACAGAATGAAACAGGGCATGGCAGTGCATGCCCTAACCCCAGCACTCAGGAGGCTGAGGCAGGAGAATCCCTGTGAGCCTGGGCTGCATAGTGAGTTCAAGGCCAGCCTGGACTGCATAACAAGACCTTGTCTTAAAAAAAAAAGAGCAGAATGGTTTAACTGTGATCTGATTCAAAGGGAAAGACAGGGCTGGCCAGTTTGGAGGCTCTAGAAACGTTTGCTTAGGGACATGAGCTTTGGTTTGAGACCCATGCAGCCTTGGGGCTGGGGATTTAGCTCAGCGGCATAAGCGCCTGCCTTACAAGCAGGCAGTCACATGAGTTCAATCCCCGGTACGGATTTTAAAAAAAAAGGAAAAAGACAAAAAAAGAGAGAGAGAGACCCACGCAGCCTGGCTGTGGGGAAGAAGGTCTCACACCTCACATGGTGCAGGGCTAAGGTGGCCTCTCTTAAAACAATACTCTAAAAATAGGCATAAGACAATCAGAAAGAGGAACCTTGGCTACTCAATACTGTCAGTGTTTCTAATTTAGGGGAGTTGTGTTGGTTTTCTCTTGCTGCACACCTATATTACTGATCACTTAAACCAGACACAGTAGCTTACACCTGTCACCCCAGCACTTTGGGAAGCTGAGGCAGGAGGATTGCAAGTTCAAGCCCAACCTGGACGGTAAACGACGGTATCACTGGGGGCCACTCTGCGGTCAGGCTACCACGGGCATAGAGCAAAGATTAAGCTAGGCGTGGTGGCACATGTGGATAATCCCAGCACTCCCAAGGCTGAGACAGGAGGGGGCACCATGAGTTCCAGGCCAGCCTGAACTACACAGCAAGACCCTGTCTCAGAAAAAACACAACAAAACAACAAAATTATCCTCAAAAATCTCATAAATCACCTACAAAGCATGGTAGACTGCTGTACCCCCATTCACAACCCCAGCGCTCCCATTTTCCTGCAGTTCTGCATAACACCACTATTTTGTTAAGTACTAGATGAAGTTGTTGGTTTGGTTTGGGGACAGTGGTTCTCTAACAATAAATGTTTCAAACACCAAAATCACCTTTGCCTTCATCTGATCATATGTCACGAAGCTCAAGTAAATGAATATGACAGGGGTAACTAGGGAAGCTTATTGTGTCTTCATGACACCTACCCTGTTTTAAATCCTTGTTTTAGTTCCAGTTACCAAGCAGCTCTCTGGTCAAAATTTGACTTTCTAAACGCATAAGCAAATGGGAAGAAAATAATCTGCTCATAGTGCTTTGGTTTGAATATACCCTCTAAAACTCAAATTGAATTTTCTCTTTTAAGACAGGGTCTCAGGGCTGGGATTTAGCTCAGCGGCATAAGAGCCTGCCTTATAAGCAGGCAGTCGTGAGTTCGATCCTGGGTACCGATAAAAAGGAAAAAGACCAAAAAAAAAAAAAAAAAAAAAAAGACAGGGTCTCACTGTATAGTCCAGGCTGGGCTTGAACTCATGGTGATCCTCCTGCCTCAGCCTCTACACGTGGCCTAATTGTTTAAGTCACTGTGATGCTATAGATGTTCATACTTCGGTATACATGTGTCAAACTCAACACATCAAGGGATCCACCTACCTTCAACATCAAGCTGGCATGCGAGGACGCATTTCTGAAGCTCTCTCCTTTCTCATGACCAGGCAGGTTGGAGATGGCAGAGGCAGGAGAACACTGTGCTTCTACTAGAGTTCAAATCACTCCCATCCTGCTGTGCCCACAGCAACAGGAAACTTGTGTGCATACAGTGCGCTAGTCTGTGCTTCTGCTGTGCAAGGGTGTAGCTCCCTTTCTTGTTTGCCTCCAGGATCAGGGTGCTCAGCCCACCCTGCCTCAAACCCCCAGGCCATGTCTCAAGTACCTGGCTCCCACCACCACTTCGCCTGCCTGCCCGGGGGCTGGCTAAACACAGTAAGTATCTCCCACTTTTCTGACTACACCGAGTGAGTGTCCACAGCTAAATGCATAGTTTCAAGAAGAAAATCTCTTACAAAGTTAAGTATGTGCCAGGCGTGGTGCACACACCTGTAACCCCAGCACTCCAGAGGCTGAGGCAGAAGGACAGCCATGAGTTTGAGAGCAGCCTGGGCTCCATACTAAGGAGGAAAAAAAGTGAATATGTATTTTGAAAATATAGTATGAAATGTTAACTCAGGTGCTACAACTGGCAACTGTCTTGCAAAAAAGAACTTAGAGAAGTCAGGTGGGGTCACACACACCTACAATCCCAGCACTCTGGGAGTCTGAGTCAGGAGAAGCAAGTTCAAAGCCTGTTTGGGAAAATTATTGAGACCTTGTCTCAAAGGAATAGTAGGGTATGGTGGCACAGGTCTATGAATGCAGCATCTAGGAGGCTAGGCAGGAGGGTCACAAGCCAGGGACCTGCCTGGGTAGTGAAACAAAACCTTGTCTCAAAATAAAAAGGGCTGATGATTAAAAGCCCTAGATTCAATCCCCAGTATCCAGATAGACAGATGGACAGACAGACATTCTATAAATAGGAAGCATGAGCCAGGTGTGGTGGCACACTCCTGTAATTCCAGAATTTGGGAGGCTGAGGCAGGGGAGTCATTGCAAGTTCAAGACCAGCCTGGGCTACAAAGTGAGCCTAAGGCCAGCCTGACCTGCATAGTGAGAACCTGTCTCAAAAAAAACAAAAAAAAAGAAGCATGGTACCAATTTCAGGACACCATAGGAATACCTAATTGACTAGCTTGCAGTTTTTGAAACGATTGAGGGGCTAGGGCTGGGAGTTTGGCTCAGCAGTGTAAGTACCTGCTTGGCAAACTTGAGGTCATGAGTTTGACCCCCGGCACCAAAGGGGAAAAAAAAAAAGATTGAGGGGCTGGGAATTTAGCTCAGTGGCATAGGCGCCTGGCATGCACAAGGTCCTGAGTTCATCCCTGGTGCCAAAAAAGGAAAAAAAGACTGAGAATTGGCATTAGTTGAGATCATCTTAAAACACTCATAAGTATTCAAAAAAGACCCCATTTCAAAGTCAACAATAATTATTCAATATTTTACTTTTAATTTAATTTATAGCTATGAGAAAAATCCACCCATCCCACCTGCCCTCTCAGGACAGAACCCGGGCCTTGGCGCCAAGCTATATTGCAGCCTTTTTTAAATTTTTATTTTTTGAAATATGATCTTGGTGAACTGCTAATTCACCACACTGGATGCTGGACTGTGATCCTCCTGCCTCGGCCCCCCAGAGTACAAGGATAACAGGTATGCACCGCCACTCCCCGAAGAGAATTCCTCTGAGTTAGCATTATTTTCTGTTTTAGAACCGGGAATCAAACATAGAACTTTGTGCTTGCCAGGCAGGCACTTATGTCACTGAGCTATGTCCCCAGCCCTTGACTTAGCATTTTAAAGTCACAGAACAAGAAAGAAACTGAGATTCCATTCATTTCAGTGTTCAATTTTACTAACGCAGGAAATACCCTGACTCACATTTGTTTGCTGTCCTGGGCTTTGTCTTAATTTTTAGTCGTTACACGTGAGTGCAAGAGTAAAGGGAATACTGTTTAGCTTCATTAGAATTACTTTCAGTCGGGCCTCACACATATGATCTGTTTTCACAGCTCACGTTTTTCTCTATCGTCAGGGTGTAACACTGCCGACACTTCACAGCTTACTACAATTCTTTCTTAGTATTAGATAACGAAACAATGTTCTGTGTGTCCACATAGTCACTGAGTCTTTTCTATGACTGCAAAAATATTCTGTCAGGTACAGACACCTAAGCGAAAGCCTCCCTCTTCATAAATGCAGTGTTCCTCGTTCTCTGACGGGCACTGCGACCACAGAAGGGCCAGCAGTGCTGTCTCCTGATTACTCCCAGTCAAAAACATTCACGGGGAGGAGGCTGGGCCACAGAGCCCTCCTTAGCCCACAAGGGCAAGGCCCTGGGTCCAGTGTCCCCAGCATGGTTGAGGTTGCGGGTGATGTAGTCAAGGACACTTGCGGGTGGAGCCGCACTGCGCTGGTTGATTAGTCTGCACAAGTGGTTAAAGCCCTCAGCGCGGCTCCTTTTCTCTACATTTGGCATAAGGAGTAAGTGGACTACAAGCAGGTGCTCGGCTTTCTTTGATGCGACCTGGAAAACTCCGTGTGGATAGGGACAGCGGCGTCCTGCACCCGCATCCCTAGATGGTCAGCGTGCCTTCCACAACCAAGACTGCGCGGCCCTTGATGTCCACTCGTGCATGAGGGCGCAGGGAAATACCCAGTTCTCCTCCTCGTGGGGAGCACTGAAATGCTGAAGAAAACAAAAGAAGTCACAAATTATGAGCATTTTCACCCATTGTAATGAACAGAATATAGTAAAAACCTTTTATCACCAGCTCCACAGGCTTCCCAGGTTTCTTTCTTTCCTTCCTTTTTTTTTTTTTTTTTTTTTTTTTTTGAGATACAGTCTCATTATGTAGCTCGGCTGGTTTGAATTCATTACGTAGGCAGGCTGGCCTCAAACTCACAGTGATCCTCCTGCCTCAGCCTTCCAGTGCTGGGATTTCAGGCTTAACATCAAGGTTACTTTAAAGAATAAATGTCTTCATCTGCCTATGGAGTTGTAAATGCAATTTAGTCAATAGAACACACAGCCTCACCTCCTCCCTTCCTGAGCTCTTTCTCATCATTTCCCCTACTACTTCCTGTAACACCCCACTATGTCCTACCCACAGCCTCCTCCAGGAGACAGTGATATTATGGGAAAGACAGAGGTATGAACCGGAAGTCTAAGAGGAGGAAGAGGGTGCTCCTGCCCTCCTTTGAAGGCCTCATCTTCTCAGCTCTGAATACAGCTGAGGGGTTGTCTCATTCATAACACAAGGTGTGATCAAAAAATACAATGTGTGTTTAAATACGTTTTATTCCAGTAAAAAATACATCGCCAATTAGCCCCTTCAAAATACTCCCCGCTGCTCTGAACATATGTATCCCACCACTGTGTCACTTTCTGAAGCGCTTCTGGATTCCTCTTTCATGAGTGTCTTTATTCACACTGCTATGGCTGCCTTGACATCCTGAATTGATTCAAAACGTTCATTGTTGTGGTCATTTTGACTCTGGGGAAGAGGCAGAGGTGCATGGTGCCAAGTCTGGTAAATAAGGTGGGTGAGGACACACCAGAGTGTCTCAGCCGGCCTGCCTCTCTGCTCTTTTGTTTTGTTTTCCGCCTGTCGGATGGCTCTCAGCAGCAGGATCCCCTCTGGTTTTGAGCACACCTCATAAAGACATGAAGGAGGACTTCAGAGCTGCATCAGAAACAACACTGGGAAGAGTGTGCTCCAAGTGAGAGGCAGTATTTTGAGGGATTAATGCCAATGTGCCTTTCTTTTTTTCTTTTTTGGTACCGGGGATCAAACTCATGACCACACACTTGCAAGGCAGGCGCTTATGCCACTGAGCTAAATCCCCAACCCCTCCAATGTGTCTTTTACTGTAAATGATTTTTAAACTTTAAGCATTCGCTATGTGCTGGGCAGAGGCCTCAGTCTTCAGGAGGGGAACTCAGCACCGAGGAGGGGAACCAGGCTCCTCAAGGAGAGAAATCGGCTGCCTTGCCACCTCCACTCAAGGCTCCAGGAAGGCACAGCTCCAGCCTTGGGGTCACCATCCAGCTCTGAGGCCTCGGTGGTGCAGCTCCGTTGGCTACAGTGGCTCTTCTCTGCCCCTGACCACCATACTCGCCCCTAGGGGACTTGGTCTGGAAGTTGTCAGTTTGGCTCAATCCTGTGGTATCAACAGCCATATAACTGAGCCTTAAGGATCATTCATTATCACATGATCAATAACCACTCCGGGCCAAAGACACACAGCAAACCAAGGCCATTGGCCGGAGTCTTACTGAGCCCTGAATCCCAGTGTCTGTTGTGAGAGGCAGGGGCAGAGGTGTCTGGGGTAAAGGATGTTTAGGGTGACAGTTAAGGATGGTTAAGGACCATCTTATGCCATGAGTGACATAATATTTGACTATATTTTCAAGGGGAAAACACTAGGAGAAGGACACTAGTTTAAATTAGTCAAATAAACAGAAATTGGAAAAGAGCAGACCTACCCCGCATGTCTTTCTTCCCCAGCTGCTGGGACCAGTAGCCACTGAGAATAGTGTGCGCGAGCCCTGAAGGAGAAAACAGTTACTGACGCCCACAAAGTACAGGGGCCTGTGAGGTAGGCTGATTAGGAGCCTCAGTCACCTACCCAGCATGACTAACCTTACAGCATTTGATTTTAAGCTGACCGGGTGATAGTGATGTATGGAATGTGCGTGCACAAAAACTAGGAAAAAAGACACAGAGCTAGGCACAGAAGCAGGCACCTGCAATTCCAGCACTCCAGGAGGCTGAGACAGGAAGATAGCAAGTCCCGGTCCAGCCGGCAACTTCAGTCATTCAGCAGGACCTTATCTCAAGAGTGGGGGTGTGGCTCAGTTCAAAGACCCTGGGTTCAATCCCCAGTACCAGGAAAAAAGATGGAAGGACAGAGAAGTAGGAAGGAGAGACAGAGAGACGAAGAGACAGAAAGACAGAGAACAGAGAGATAGAGACAGACAGAGAGAGGACAAGAGGGAGGGAAGGAGAATGAATTTATGAGTAAGTTCCCAAATGATGCATCTACTACGTCTTCCTGGTTCTGAGGCCTGAAATAGACTGCACATTTTAATTCCTGCCCACTAGTTCACTGTCGGTCCCTGTCAGGATGATCAAGGCCTCACAAAAATCTTCCCACATCTGTCTGGGGAAAGTGTCTCCTTCTGCTTCTCCTCTTCCTCCTCCTTCTCTTTCTCCTTCTCCTAGGGGACAAATTCAAGGACAGCTAAGTACTCTGACAAGAGCCACCTCTTCACCCAGTCAATATTCCCGAGCTTTGAGGAGCAAAAGAAGGTTTTTTTTCTACTTATGAACCTTATTCCTGAATAATACACTGTTTCCAGGCTCAAAAAGGAACTCCTTCACATGATTGTACCCTCGCTTTATTTACATACGTATGTTTTAAAACAGACACAGGGTTTCACTACATGGCCGGCCATGAACTTTCTATATAGCCCAGGTTGGTCTCAAACTTTCAATTCTCCTGTGTCACTGCCCCCCCAAGTACCAAAAATATAGGCGTGGGCCACATCCAGTTTCATTTCTTCATTTTCATATCTAATCTCTGATCTAGGCTTATGGCCCATGCCTGTAATTCTAGTACTTGGGAGGCTGAGGCAGGAGGATCACTGTAAATTCGAGGCAAGCCTGGGCTACCAAATGAGCAAGGCCAGCCTGAACTGTATGGTGAAACCCTGTCTCAGAAAGACCTAAAACAAAAAAGGAAATATAAAGTTATCATTGACAGAAAGGTCTTTGGAAGAGAAAAGGATAGAAAGCAAAAGCTCCAATTCAGAAATGCATTAATTGATGTGTGGTGCAACCATCTTGATTTGTCTAAGTCTGGTCTGCCGTTAGCAATGAAAATTCTGCATCCCCAAAACCCGTTGGTCTAGCAAACCTAGAAGGCTGTGGTCATTATGGACTCAAGACCTTCACACTCTAAAAAAGAACATTCTAGGAAGAAAAAACCCTCACACTCTGTGTCAGTTAAAACCTCCAGGCAGCAGCTGTGCATATGCAAGTCTGCTCAGAGGCTCTCTTCCGTGGGGAGAGGCTGGGCGCAGACGTCAGGACGTTGGCGGGCATTTTCCTGAGTCTTTAAAAGCGCTTGTTTGCTGAGCTTTGACTTTCATGTACTTTGTTCCTCAGAGGGTAACTAAGCCATCCTGGCCCCTGCCATCTGACCAGACTGGGGCTGTGAATCCTCTGCCCAGCCCCCTCCTGCCTGGACCCCCATCCCACGTGGATGCCTCCTCCCTGGAGCCCCGCCCCTCCCCTGCCTTCTCTCTCTGCTGGATAGAACCCAGCACCTCACACATACCGGGCAATGCTCTACCACTGAATTACACCCCAACCTGATTTTACTCTTAGACAGGGTCTTTATTAAGTTTTCCAGGCTGACCTTGAATTTGGAATACTCCTGCTTCAGCCTCCAAAGTACCTGGGATTACAGGTATGTGACCAGCCCAGAGTTCCAAACAGGATGAAAATAGGCAGCATGGTAGTCCTGCCCCTCTGTGAAGTCGTCCCTCTGCTTCCGGCTGGTGGGAGGTTTGGAAGTGTTGGCTGGTTATTAAACTAGCTTAGTTATTTGGACTGTTACTTACCATGTACCAGGCACTATAGCAAGCACTTAACATTCATTGTGTTTATGTAACTCTGTGAGGTATCATCCACATTTGATAGGCAAAGGAAGTGACGTTTTAAACGCTTGTCATTTGCCCAAAGTTGAGAAGTAGAAAACTAGAAATGCAAATCCAAACTGTCTGGCTCCAAGGTTTGCCCTGCCTCCCATGCCTCCTTTATTTTGTGCTTTTCACATGAGACTTCATGGAAAGGATGGAGGAAGAAGAAGAGATGCAGTTAAGCAAAAACAGCTCCAAACCCAAGCAATCTCAGCTGGGTGTGGTAGTGCACGCCTGTAAGCCCATCACTTAGGAGGCTGAGGCAGGAGGATTGCCACAAATTTAACATCAGCCTTAACCACATAGTGCAACCCCGTCTTGAAAGAAATAAAAAAACAAGCAACCTAATATCTAATGAGATAGACAATTCCTTTTAAGGAAACAAGAGTCAATGTTGATAACCATTGTTAATAACCTTGTACTCTGTTCTACATCATGTGCTATGTCTATCCTTGGTTTTGACTTACAGCTTTGTTTTGCCATATTTGACTTTATTCTCTCCCCCCCAAAAAAAGTAATAAGAACTAAGGAGTAATAAAATCCAAAATGTATAAATTTTGTTGTAAAAAAGAGAGGGAGGGAAAAAAAAAAAGAGCTCTAACGGATATAACAGCAAGTGTGTTTAGGGATGTTAAATAGCTGACTATATTAATGTTTTTGGATCATTGAACACAGCTGTTTGCAGTCTCTCTGTTTGAATGTCTACTTTGTATTCTTTGATACTGTGATTCGAGCAACTATTTCCAAGATGATAATATGTAATCTATTAACAGGTGATTTCTTACTGTTATGTTTTTTTTTGTAGTTCTGTATTATGTGTAACCTTACACTGCTTTGTTTTGTTTTGTGTTTTTCTCTTTTTCCTCTTAAATAAAAAAATAAAAATTAAAAAAAAAAGCAACCTAAAATATCACATAAAGGACACTTACTCAGCTAACTGTTAATCTCCCCTTCCATGGTTAATCTTTCCCTGGACCCAAAGAAAAAGTACCTGTTACGGGGTCTTCGGCCACACCAAACCATGGTGAAAAATATCTGGAGTAAAAGTCAAATGCTTGGGTGTGCCCAGCAGGCTCTGCTTTGAGGGTGACAATAAGTCCACTTATCTTCCTTGTGGTCTCCACTTGGGTCAGAGTCCCTGTGTTCACTTTCAGGATCTCCAGAAATGACCTGGTTCAGAAAGGACAAACTGCTTCACAGAGTAAGAAGTGACCGAGCCCTGTCACCCAGCAGCTCCGCGGGAGGACAGGGAGGAACAGCCATACTGCTTCCTCGAGAGAAAGAATGTCTGCTGCCTGCTCGGTTCTTTATCCACCACACGGGAGACCAAGCCAGAGCAGAAATGTGGGGCTCAGTGCCGCACAGTGGAGAACAGAGTGTACCTGTCATAGGAGTCACTGAGCCGCACAAGGAGGTTCTGGGTATCTGGAGAATAGCGGACGTCCTGGACCTGCGTGTCACCTATCGCCGCCTGCAGATACAGAACCAAAAGCTCTTCAGGAGCATGTTGGGGTCACGTGCTCTCAAACAGGGAATGAGGGTTCACTGAGCTAGCCCCTCACTGTTACCTGTGTTCCTGGGCTACTTTGCTGACCCTCTGCCAGCCTCAGACAGCCTCTGCTCACAAGTGCTCAACACACAGAGCTCACACCTTGACCCAGTTCTGCATGGCCCTGGAGTCAAAGCTCGTAATCTCTTTTGTTAACAGTATCTGCAGGTCGGGGCCTCGTGACCACCTCTTAGAGTCACTGTGAGGAACACAGGACATAACACATGTGGAGACACTGCGGCCATTTCTAGAACATTCCACATGCCAAGATTCAGGGCTGGCTGTGTGACAAACAGCAGAGCAAACGGCAAGCCCACCACTTTCATTTAGATTGCGTGTTCCAGGCTGGGGGTTTAGCTCAGTGGCATAAGTGCCTGCCTGGCAAACACGAGGTCATGAGTTCCATCCCCAGCACCAAAAAAAAAAAAAAAAGATTGTGTTCCAGAGCAAAGCCACAACATTTTCTCAAGATAACTCACTCTACCAAAGACTGAACTTAATCGTCTCCAAAGTCAAGAACATTGTTTATTTGTACACTTATGGCTTGGGTGCTGAGGCAGACTGAGGGGACAATTCCTCCCTCCATGCCATCCTCTGGCACCACCCTAACCACCAGATGGGGATGATTACAAGATGGTTCTGCCACCTTCATCAAGAGGCTTCAGGCTCTCCAGTCCCTGTGAAGGCTGAAGTATATAAATTCCCATGGCCTGTTCTCTGCCCTGGGTGCAACCTGGGCAGTCTCCTCTTTTCCTTCCACTTTTTTTGTACGGATTTCATGAAAGGAGCTTTTCTGCCAGAAATCCCCAACTCTCCTCCCTGAACCTGCACAGCCAAACTCTGGGCTCGTGTCACTCTTGCTGGCTAGAAATGAGCAGAAAGCCGCTTCCCTTCCCTTCTCTGAGGCTGGTCTCCATTCTGCTCTCCTCCTGGTTGCCTTCTTCCTCTCTTCCCCCTCAGTGGCCCCACGACAGCCTCTCTCCCCGCAAACCACTGAAGAGGCTGATTTTTCTCTGTGGTGCCTGGGAAGACGCCAGGGCCTCACACAGGAGAGAGGGAGTCCTGTATGGAGCTGTGTGTCCAGCCCTCCCGCTGACAAATGATGAGGAAAGCGGTAAACCTCCTCCCTGAGTAGCCTGAGGACTGAAATTCAAAGCTGAAATCCCTGTGCAGGTCATCAGGCTTCAGCTGGAACCTGTAGAGTGGTAGAAGGCCTATCTTTGGGGTTCAGACCACATCAAACTTTTGTGTTCAAACAATAAGAAATGACCAAATCCCACAGGCTCAGATTTGAGGCTTTTCACCAACCTTTATCAAGTTCTCCACTTCATGGAAGTCCTGGAAGGGGAAAAAGGACAAAATCACTGTAAAACAGGCAAGTGGTGCCTGTACACAGCTGGGGGGTAGCAACTAGAGAGAGCTGACCTGGGGCTGGGTAGGGTAGAGGGGCAGGTCCAGGATGATCCCATCTTCGGCTCTTCGGGCCGTTAGTTCCCCACTCAGGGTGACGAAGGTGAGGGTGCTGCTCGTGTTGTCTGTCCCGAGGGCAGAGATGAACTTGTGACATGTTGCACATCTGTTTCATCACCTGTGCGGATTCTAACTTGGGGGCTTCTAACTCATGACACAGTGACAGGACTCGGCCTCAAAAGGTCCCTCCCTCAGCTCCCAATCGATTATTAACTGCAATTGCACGTTACCTGACCTCCTTTCCCCCATGTTTCCTCGTCCATAAAACAAGGTTGTTAATTAAACCTACCTTGTACAACTGTTTCTGTGTTTTCTAAGGAGATTTAAAAATATCTACCAACAGTAACTAGAGAGTGACAAATGCTGTTAGTCCAAGTCATGGCCAAGAGATGATGACACATGTGGTCTGTGAACAATGGTCTTCCATGAAATAAATTGGGTTCCTCTTGAGTAAAACCAAGCTACACAGAAGAATTCGATTTAAATTCCACAAAGGCTAACTGAATATTCTTCCGTGAACCTGATACACTTTTGACCACTTATCTGACCTCAGTATTGTAACATTTTTAGTGAAAACCACAATGTGTAAACTAATCCTTTACCATCATGTTTCTGTGACATACTCTTCAAAAATGACTATTGCCAAGAAATCCAACAGTCACTCCAAGTTCTGGCAAGGCTGGGATAAAGGAGCCCTCTACTCTGCTGGGGGAGCATGAACTATGGAAATCAGTATGGAGAGTCTTACGTAACTATGCACAGAAATTCCATTTGACCCTACAGTTCCCCTTCCACATATCTTCCCAAAAGAGTTCAAGACATCATACATACTACAGGGAAAGGTGCACACTCACGTTTACAGTGGCACAACTCATAACAGCTAGATCTTAGAAGTGGCCTCCATGTCCATCACAGAGAGGGCAGGGGGAGAAGGGAAAAGAAAGGAAATTAAGATGTGTCAAGTACAGTGACCAACTCCCCACAAAGAATGGCATCACTATGCACTAATGAAATCATTTAGTAATAAAAAGTTAAACTAAAAAACTTTTAAAGAGATTAGAATTCTTTAATGTTTGCTACTGCTAAGTGACAGGTTCTTAAAGAAATTCATTATTACTTAGTTTGTAGAACAGCACAGCCGCAGAAGCCAGGGTGGCATGGCCGCAGAGGGGTATCTCACTCGCCGGTGTGAACCACCTCAGTCCAAAGCAGGAACCTTCAGAGGGAAAAGCGGAGAGAGGCCAGGTCACTCCCATGCAGGCAGGTTGCCATGCTCCATTTGCCTCCTCTTCCCTAAATGCTGCCTTTCCTCAGTATGATTAGCACTACAGCATGACGTGAAAGGGTGTATGCAGGAGAGACAAGCATCACAGGACTCCCCAGTGCTGAGTCTGGAGCTGAAGTTTCCAGGTTTGCCAACATCCTCTGAATCCACTTTATACTGTTGTAACAGTACACCATAGACTGGGTAATTGATGAAGAATAGAAATGTAGCTGGTTGTGGGGGTGCACGCCTGTAATCTCATCACTTGGGAGGCTGAGGCAGGAGGATCAATGCAAGTTCAAGACTAACTTGTGCTGCAAAGTGAGCTCAAGGCCAGCCTGAACTACATAACAAGACCCTGTCTCAAAAAGACAAAACAAACAAACCCCATACACTCATTTAAAAAAAAGAAGAGAAAGAAAAAGAGGAGAGCACGTTTATGCTTGACAGGGCTAAACTCACTTCTATAAGAAACGCCCCCTCAAGCTAACGAACTCACTTTCAGAATAACAGCACAAAGCCATTGCCTTTCATCAGGCCCCAGTTCCTAACTCTGTGCATTGGAATTAAGTTTCCAATACATAAATCTGAAGAGGAGGACACATCTAAACCACTGTACACCCACTTCCCTAGACATATTGAAACCCATTCTACCTCCCACCTGCATAAGTTATAAAGGAGCACTGCCTTAAGTACCATTCCCCCACCTAAAAGATAACTTCTGGTGTCATTCAAGACTGAGTAAAAAAAAAAAGTGCATACTTACTTTGTGTGAAGTTGTCTGTTGGGTGAAGTTTTCGGATAAAAGCAGTTTCAGAGAGATTCATTTCCTTTGCAATTTTTTGGTGCATGTCTTCATCCAATTTCTTAATTAGAAACAAAGGTTATTGAGACTAAAAAAACATAAATCAGACTTCCTCAGATAGTAACTACTATTAGGTAACATAGTTTATTAATATTCAAAGTTATATGCTCAAATCAGGAATGGTGCCAAATATCTGTTATCCCAGCACCCAGGAGGCTGAGGCAGGAAGACTGCAATTTCAAGGCCAGCCTGGACAACTTGAAGAGATACTGTCACAAAATAAAAATTTTAAAGAGGCTTAGGAGTAAAGGCTTTCCCTAGAATGCAGGAGGCTTTGGGTTTAATTTCAACATCAGAAAAAAGGGGAGAAAGAAGGAGAGGAAGAATAAAGGGGTCATCTTGCAGCTTAACATGGTTATAGTCCCAGTACTTGGGAGGCTGAAGCAGGGAGGTTCTCTTGAGCCTGAGAGTTTGAATCCAGCCTGCAGAATGTAGCAAAGTCTCATGTCGGGGGCTGGGGAGGTTTTGTTAGTATAGAAAATGGCAAGCAGTGAATCTAGATGTATGGTATATGGATATTGATTGTGGTATTCTGGAAACTTCTCTGGAGGTTTTCAATTTTTTAAAATACATGTTAAAAAATATAATACGGACTTTAGAAACAGATAAAATTGGATTTTAACTGCTAATACTAGCAATAAAGCTACCTTCCATAAATCACAGTGGCTGATTGGATAACTAAGAAACCTAATCCCAAGTAGAAAAGTTGGGGGCACCGCAGGGGATCCAGGCCCCCGAGGCAGTGGCGCTATGATGTGACCGGTCTCTGTGCAACTTGGTCCAGGCACAACGACCACAGATGGAAAGTGGGGGCCACTTCCACCTCTTTTGTGGAGTCTGCAATCACGGGCCTCAGTGGCGATGCCAAGGGACATAAACAAGCCCTGACTGGCCTCCCTGGCTGTGCCATCTGGGCTGCAGAAACTTGCAGTGCTCACCAATTCTTCCACTGTCTAAGCTGGCCAAACTTCCTATCCCTGTCTTTCCTTAGTCTGTTGTTTCCTGTGACCTTCAGGACAATAGTTTTTGAGACCAGGTTTCACTATGTAGTGTAGGTTGGCCTTCAACTCTCTATTTAAATGGGTTGACCTTGCAGTGATCTTCCTGTCTCAGCCTCCCAAGTGTTGGGATCATAGGTGTATACCACCCCACAGGCACACATTTAGGTCTTTAATCTTCTCTGTCTTGATACATTACATTAATTGCAGCTTGAAATTCTGTCCCAGGACACTTCATTTACTTATTTATGGTACTGGGGATTGAACCTAGGAAGTATTTGACCATTGAGCTACTTCCCTAGCCCTTTTATATTTTATTTTTGAGGCAGGGTCTCTCTAAATCACTAAGATGCCCAAGGTGGGCTTGGACTTGTGATCCTCTTTGCCCCCATCTCCCCAGGGATAGAATTACAGGTGTGGGCCACCACACTCAGCTCCCACAACACTTTCAGGGCACCTGTTGTTTGCCTTCGAGACCAGAGACTACAGAAAGTTGACAGCAGCAGCCCTCACTGGGTACCACAGGCCAATGACCTTTCACTGAGTTCCTACACTGGAACAAAACATCCAGATAATGTTGAATAACAAAAAGGCTTCGAGTTTGACAGCCTTAGAAACATTCATTCAATATACTGAATATTGGGGCTGGAGAGATAGCCCAGTGACATACCATCTGGCTCTAGAGTCAATCCCTCACCTCAAGAAAAAAACAAAAGCAAGTTAAACGTTTACTCCACTATTTTTTCCATTTTTTATTATAAGCTTCCATTCAAATAACTCCCCGAGTGGGGGTGTGGCTCAGTGGTAGAGCTTGTTAAGCAGGAGGCACAGGGCACATGCATACACATACACACGCACATGCACACACATGCACCATGAACTGACAGCTATCAATCCTGTCACTTTCGCATCCATTTCCCTGGGGAATCACCCAGGGAACACCAATCAAATGTCAGCAACAACGACAGAATGATGTCTGCTCTTCTGAGCCTTGGAGTCCAACTACTGTTGGACATCGGGATCCTGAGGTGCTATCACTTTATGGCCCACAAGATTAATGATCAGAAAATCAGAGTAAACTTTTAAAATACTCCCATCTTGTGGCAGTTTGGAAACATGGCAGCCAGCCTGCCTGGCCTCCGTCCCTCCTCTCTACTAGATCCCAGCAAAGCAGCTGGATGTAGGAAGTTCTAAAACCACGCAGGAAGAAAAGGGAATTCTTGTTGAAGCACACGGATTCCTGAGAGAAGCTCAAACCCTGGGCTGCCTTCGCTGTTGCTGTAGTTCTGACGGATGCCCACCCTCTCAGCTCCATCGTGGAATTGGGGCTCACGTTTGCTTTTTATGTCCTACCCACCCTACCTCAACTGGTAAGAAGAGAAAATCAGTAGAGGCTGGTTCACAAAAACTCTCCAGAGCGGGTTTTGCTGGAGTGTAGCTGATCACAGTCACCTCACCCTGCACACCCTCATGTATCCCGTGAGCTTGATACGGCATATTGGAACCTGCTGAAGTGGGTTCAGTTCCCCCTCCCTTGGAATTTGCAGCAGATGAAGACAGTGACAGAGATGCCCAAGTGTCACCATCTGGAAGCACGGGCCGATGTAAGTGTGGAGGTTAGAGGGACCCATGCTACAATCAGGGATAGGAGCTGGGGTGGGCTAGAAGCCAGCCTCTTAGAAACATGAGACTCCTGAACAAATTACTGAACCTCTGAGCTGGGTGTGGGGGTGCAGGCCTACCACCCCAGCACTCACGGCTGATGCAGGAAGACCGTGAGTTTGAGGCCAGCCTGGGCAACTCAGGGAGACCCTGATTCAAAACTTTAAAACATTTTTAAAGAGAGTGGGGGCAGGACCCTGAGTTCGATTCTCCTTACCAACAAGAACAAAAACAACCCAAAGCACAAACCTTCCTCCTTCTCTATTCGTTGACCTCAAGGATGGGGACAAAAATGAAGGATGCCTGCAGTGAGGCTGTGAAGGCACCATGACACCTAGGGGAAGCAGCACAGGACCTGGCTGAGTCTGTCTGCAGTCACTGTTCCACAGCTGAGGCGATGCTCGAGAGGCCGCTGAGCATCCGCAAGAGGCAGAAATCCCAGAGCTAACACATCCTCCTTTACAGTGCTCTCAGCCTTCAAATACCAGCAGAGCCCGTCTCTCAAGGCGTCCTGCTCCCTATCCTAGACTTCTCCCCAATCGTCTCTCCTCCGGGCATAGGAGTGAGATCTGAGGGTGGAGCAGCCTAGAAGCTCCGGAGACCTCTAGTTCGCGTGCTCACACCCAGCCAGCGATCTCCCTTAGAGGAAGTCAGGCCAAGCTCAGAAGCAGCTGCTGCACCCCAGGTGAGTTACAGCATGGAAACCTGGGGCTGTTCTGCGAGAACAGACTCACATGTCACAGCCTTTTCTTCCAACCTGTAAACAGGCTTTCAGTGTTTTTCAGATTTCACCAGGAAAACTGAAGCAGCAAGTAGCTCTGGCGATGAAGTTAATCCTCCCTACTGGGCCCAGGGCACAGCTCAGTAACAGAGCGCTTATCAGAAGTGTGTGGCTCTAGGTTCAATCCTAGCTCCCTGCCAAGGGAGGAAGAGGAAGGGAGGGTGGAAAGACACCTGTCTCGCTGCCACTAAAACTTACTGTTAGCATCTAAGAGAAAAATAACACATGTGTACATAAAGACTACATTTGATCTTATCATGGTGCCCGGAGCACCTTATACAGCCAGTAAACATCAACTGCATTGGGAGGATTAGGCATACAACAGAGTTTTTTTGTTTGTTATGAACAATTCTAACAGAAGAAGGAATAAACCTTTATTTAGAAAAAGCAGCCAGGTGTGGTGATGCACATCTGCAAACCCAGCACTTGGGAGGCTGAGGCAGGAGGATTATGGCAAATTTAAAACCAGCCTGTATTACAAAGTGAGCTCACGGCCAGCCTGGACTGCATAGCAAGACTCTGTCTCAAAAAGACAAAAATGAAAAAAAAAAAAATTTGTAAGACAATGAACAAAGCACCACTCCCTATCATTAACATGGCTGTCTAATCTAATACCAACATTAGTCATAAATACAGATAACTTTTACATAGTTGTCATGATGAGGTCTCCATTTCATTTTTTACATTATTTTATACTTTTTCCTGTTTCTACGTGATTCTTACAGAAAAATTGAGGCTTTTGAGGACACATCCATTTTTAAAATGTTTATTTTTTTCAAATGTTTGCTCCATCTTCCTCTTAACCCTTAATCTGTCATTGTTTTTACATAATAGGCAATGCTATAGGTTCCTTGCACAAAAAAAATTTTTAAACAGACGTCTTCAAAAGAAAACTCTCCAGGTGAATATGCACACACCTGTAATCCCAGAAGGATTAGATGATGAGGCAGGAGGATCACCATGAGTTCAAGGCCAGCCTGCGTTACACAGTGAGCTCAAGGCCAGCCCAAACTAGTAGTAATATTTTACTGAAAGGCTGCTGTGAGGATCATTAATACATATTGAATTATAGGATGTGCTAACATAAGTGTTACTACAATTCCTCTATTATTTAGAATTGCAGAATTCTAAATAAAATGTTGATGTGAAAAATATACGTATTACAAACTAAAGACACATGTATTAATGGGCAATCATGTGATGTTTCAGTTTTATCAAATTTTTTAAAAAGGTAAAACAGGAGCCGGGGGCTTAGCTCAGCGCCGTAGTGTCTGCTTGGCAAATGCAAGGTCATGAGTTCGATCCTCCGGCACCAAAAAAAATAAATAAACAAAAATTTTTAAAAAATAAAATAAAAAGGTAAAACAAAAAGCCAACCAAAATTCCAGAAGGCCTTGCTTAGTCTCAAAGATTTTTCCTCCATAAACCCCCACATGCTTGCATCCTCTGAGCCTCTGCTCCCTAAGTCTTCCAGCCTCTGGGTAACCACTAAATAATCATCAGGTTCGCTTGTCTGCTTCCCTCACAGGATTCTGTGTGCCTCCCCGGCAGGTCAACTTGCTCATCTCAGAGCCACTGCTAAATATTTGCAGGCTGCCCTAATGACAGCTTACCTCGTTAGCCTCACGAGAATTGACCGTTCCTATCTCTGATAGTTTCCACGTCCGTGTGTGCCTCCTCCATGCATATGGGATGCACTCCAGCCTCAGTCAGGCTGAAACAGAGTCTCAGCTACCTGGGTGGCTAGGAGTGGAGAACTGGAGCCCACAACTTCAGACTACTGTGAGACCATGATGCAAACAAAATAAATCAGACACACGAGTTGTAAACACCACATGGTTTCTCTTGCTTGAGAAACCCAAAGTGTAAGTAAAGAACAAAATAAAGGATAGATAATAGGAAGTAGGGAGATCTTTTTCAGATGAGAAGGGGAACAAAAGTTGGAGGAAAGGGTTGGGGATTTAGCTCAGAAGTGTAAGCACCTGCCTGGCAAGTGCAAGGTCATGATCCCCAATACAAAAAAAAAAATTGGAGGGAACAGGAAGGAATGGGAGGGGAAGGGGACAAAAAAATAAAGATGTTCATGCAGCAGCTCCCACGATAAATGTAATCATTAGGTACTGCAAACATAGACAACCCACTTTCCGGGACCCTTTCTATCTCTTAAACAGAAGTTATCTTTCTGTCAAGAAAGTCTTCTTACTCTTTTTTTTTTTTTTTTTTTTTTTTGTCTTTTTTCATTTTTATCAGTACCAGGGATCGAACTCACAACTGCCTGCTTGCAAGGCAGGCGCTTATGCCGCTGAGCTAAATCCCCAGCCCAGTCTTCTTACTCTTAAAAAAAAAAGAACAGCCTGGATAACACAGGGACCTTATCTGAATAACAATAGCTGGGCATGGTGGTGCACCTCTGTAATTCCAGCACTCAGGAGCTGAGGCAGGAGGATCTCTGTGAGTTTGAGGCTAGCCTGGGCTACATAATTGAGTTCACAGTGATCCTGAGCTACATATCGAGACTCTGACTCAAAAACCCAATAATAATACTTACTATTATTATTATTATAATATTACTATATAATATTATTATAATATTAATATTATTATATTACTATTAATATTATTATAATATTAATAATGTATTACATATTCTTATATTATCTTATATTATAATATTATTATTATTATTATTATAAAATTTGTATTAGGGGGCTGGGGATTTAGCTCAGCGGCATAAGCACCTGGCTTGCAAGCAGGCAGTCGTGAGTTCGATCCCCGGTACCGATAAAAAGGAAAAAGACAAAAAAAAAAAAAAAAAAGAAATCATCTTATTGGAGGGCTAATGTAGCACTTTTCCCAATTCATAATTAATACAAATTTTATTTTTATTTTTTTAAGACTTTTTCCTTTTTACCGGTACCGGAGATGGAACTCACAACTGCCTGCTTGCAAGCCAGGCACTTATGCCGCTGAGCTAAATCCCCAGCCCCCCTACAACAAGATGAAATTCTCATGTCTGAAGTGTGGAAAGCATGAATAGCAGGCCCAGAAAACAATCTCTTAGATACCTTTTGGGGGATTCTGACCATCATCAAATACACCCAGATTTATGGGCCAAGCCCCAGAGCAGGCTGGAAGGCAACAGAGATGTCCCTGCAGCCTGGGCACATCCTCTTTTTCCTTCTTCCTCTCCTGCCCAAGCTACGCTTTGAACTATATCAAGCACTTTGCTTAAGTTTCTATTTCTCAAATAAATACGTAGCAAATAAAATATGGAGAGATCAAAGTAAGTAAATAGAGATAGATCCTTCTAAGTCTGATGTTTAGTGAATAATCTAGAGATAAAAGAAATAAGTTGGGGAATAACACCAATTCTAATTATCAGGTGAAACTGAATATATAAATCACTCAAAGCTATTTTAAAAAGACAGGCACGGTGGCACATGCTTAAAATCCTAGCTCTTTGGAGGCTGAGGCAGGAAGATCACCACAAATTTAAGGCACCCTGAGTTACATAGTCAGTTGAAAACCAGACAAAACTATATATAGTGAGACCCTGTTTCAAAAAAACAAACAAACAAAAAAAGTTATTAGAAAACTTCAAGGACATTACATATGGGATAAATATTGTTATAACCTAAGCCCCCCTAACTGCTGTGCCATGTAGCCTGTTCTGTAAAGCGCCATGCTACTCCCCCTCCCCTTCCTCCCTTCACATCTAACTAGGTTAAGTTTTAATTTCCTGAAAGGCCATAAAACAAAGGCCTGAGGTAATAGTTCCTGGAAACCCCCTCCCCTACCTGGTGGCCCCTCATAAATTGTGCTAAATTGTGCTGTTCTTCACAAAAGAAGTGCTTGCTGTTCTTTGAAGAAATGATTAACCTCAGGACATTACAGAGAGTTCTGAAGGTCCAGCTGTCAGCTGCAATCTAATTGTGTCAATAGCCATAGCATTCCTGTGGTTTTTTGCTTTATAAGTCACTGCCTTTAGCTGTGAGGTGCGCAGTCTTTGGGTTGATCCTAGAGAGACTGTGCCACCGCCTGGATATAAAGCCTTTGCTCCCCAAATTTTAATTTCTTGCTTCCTTGGGTTTTATTCCGGGGTCCGAGCTATCACAAATATATGATGACAAATATATTAATCACTGTTAGTTCCACAGACTCTTGAAGGAAGTTGTGCTTGTCAGATTGTTCCTTAACAAAGTCCACAATTTGGAATCTCACTGTTAATTATTCTCTTGATAATATATGAACTTCATGACCTACTGAATTCAGTGCTAGCTGCAGGGCTATATAAAGAGCACATCAATAAGATGAAGACCCTTGGTCTTCTCTTCCCCAGGGAGAAGCACTGGAAAAGCTCAGTGAATGACATCGACCCCTCCCCAGTGCTCCTCCATCCACGTGGGGAGCTTTCAAACCAGTGCCACCTGGGGCCAAACCAGCACCATTGCAATTGGGCTGGGGTGCAGCCTTCAGCACTCCCGTAAGGAGATGAGATTCACAGAGTTCAAAGGCTTCAATATGCACTTTGCCAAGCCTAATTCCGTAAGACCATCAATGCTTAGTCTCCTCTCAAAGCAACTCAGGCTGTCTTTTTGCAGTGCTGAGGATTGAACGCAGCACCTCACCTACACACAAGGCAAATGTTCCACCACCAACCTCCATCCTTGGCCCAGCTCTCAGACCACCACTCTTCTAAGTGCTGAGTCAAAGGGTGCCTTACTACATCCCAAGAACAACACAATATTATTGTTGTATCCTTTAATATTCATCCTAGACGATGGTGTCTCTTCACCTTAGCCTACTCTGCACTGTAGTGTTTTGTGTGTTTTTTTCCCTCTTCTTTTTTCCTGCTTTTACTTGGCCCAAGCTCATTCTGCAGAGCCCTTTCTCCTCCCAACCTTCCATTTTTTTCCTAACATTAATACATGTGATACTTGGTCACTGCTTAAAAAAAAAAAAATTAGCCAAATCAAAACACTGTTTTTAGCTATGCAATTACATTCCTGTAATTCCAGTGCAGGGGCAGCTGAGGCAGAAGGGTCACCACGAATAAACTGGAAGCCAGCCTGGGCTACAAAGTGAGCCTGGGAAACTTAGCAAGACCTTATCTCAAAACAAAAAAATAAAAAGGGTTGGGAACACAGCTGAGTGCTTAAGCTCTGGGCCTAATCCTCAGTACCAGAAAAAAGAAGCCATTTTAAAAATGAGACTTTTGGTAAACTGAGTTCTGTATATATTAGAGCTCCATTCACTCTACGTTTCTACTTAATCCTTCGTGACAGGTCTAATTTTTTTGGTCCTGAAAAGATTTTCTAAATGTCTAAACTGTAGGTAAAGTGCAAGATAAGGAATTAGAATATACTGTGCCAGGTCCAGTACATAAAACTCACCTAACATCATCCTTTTCAACAGCGGGTGCCCACTCAGTGAAAATTTAAGGTTTAAAAGCGAGCCCTGTTTCCTCTTTTATTGTTTTGGGGTTTTTTTGTGTGGATTGTTTTTTTTTTGGGGGGGGGGCTGCTGGGGATTAAACTCACAACCTCAAGTTTGCCAAGCAGGCACTTATGCCACTGAGCTAAACTCCTGGCCCCTTGCTTCCTCTTTTAAAATGGCTCCAGGTAGACTGGGAGCAGCAGGGCACACTATAATCCCAGCACCCTGGAGGCTGAGGCAGGAGGATTGCAAGGTCAAGGCCATCCAGGGCAACATAGCAAGACTATCTCAAACTAAGGAGCAGGCCTAAATTCCTTCTCAACATGCACCATTTCCCTGAAGTCAGCCTCAGTCTGAACATCTTTGTTGTGGAATTTGGTCACCGTGGGTACAACCACTGACATCATGACAGACCACCAACCAAAGGAGAGAATCAACAGAAGGGCCTCGCATCCCCCCCCCCCCCCGGCTTTTTCAAATGATCCTTTGGGAATCTAGACATTCAGGTACCGCACTTGAAAAGTAAGTACTTACATTTTCTAGGAGGCAAACAGCAGCAGGATTCCCACAGAATGCTGTTGCTGTAAACGCATCGGCTATGAAAATCGGGATCTTCATCATCCTTGTGGGCTCAGGCCTACTGGTGTCCACTCCACTCCTTGCTACTGTGAAAAATCAAAGAGTTAATGTTTTACTCGGTGTGCAGGAGCAAGGAGCAGTCCCTGATACTAAGCTGAGCAAATAACCTAAAAGCTTCTGTTTCAAGATACGTGTGCCCCTAGTGTTTAGCCCCTACATTGAATTTGTTCTAATACCATACACAGGACTCAGCAACACAATCATATTATTTCTTAGAATAACCAAAAGTAGGTTAGCACATGCTTATAATAAAATGCATGAAAAACACAAGAGACACATATTGTTTACAGTCCCAGTAAAGATCACTATTTATTTTGTTTTGGTTTGGCTTTGGTTCTTTGCCAGGTTCTTACCATGCACTGCAAACTCGCCTTGAATTTATGGCTATCCTCTTGCCTCAGCCTCTTGAGTGCTGAGATTACAGTCATGTACCACCACCTCCAGGAGGCTTACATTTTAAAAATCAGAATGTTTACCTTCTTAACAGTACGCTATAGCATGAGCATTTTCCAAGGACATCAAACCCTCAAAAACCGCATTGGGGGTAGGGATATAGTTCAGAGAGAGAGCACTTTTTTTGTGTGTAAAACCTTGAGTTCAATCTCTAGCACTGCATAACAAAGAAACAAAAACACCATTTTAAGAGATTCCCAATAGGGTTATGGATATGCTGTACTATTTCCCTTTCAGTGAATATTTAAGTTGTTTCTAATTTTTCACTTAAAAGATTATGTGGTAAGCAAACTGGCTGAATGTAAACCTTGATCTTCATTTCTGATTCTTTAGTTTAATAGATTCCTGAAGATGAGTAGCCCAAGCCAAAATATAGAAATATTTTAACTCACACAGACACACCAAGGCTGGGGGAATAGCTCAGGGGTAGAGGATTTTGTTTTGCTTTGCATTATGCAATTATGCTGACCTTGAGTTTGTGGCTATCTTCTTGCCTCACCTTTCCAAATGCTGGGATTACAGATAAACAGTTGGCTTGGCTTCCTCTAATCAGATAATAAACAACATAAAATCTGAACCTCCTAGTTTTCTTTACTGCTACATTAGTTCCTAGGATGGTACCTAGCACACAATAAATATTTGTCAAATTGATTATTTAAGTAAATAACATGCTAAGCATATATAAAACTGAACTTTCAATCCAGGTGTGGTGACACATGTCTGGGTCTCAGGACTCAGCAGGCTGAAGTACAAGGATCACCACAAGTTTACGGTCAGCCAGGGCTACAATAGAGAAACCTTGCTTCAAAACAAAAACAAAGAAAAAGTATAACTTTTGTACATGGGCTGACAAATGTGAGGGTATCTCATTGTGATACCATCAACCAGCCAGCATTTCCATAGTAGTATCACTATTGCTGACAATGCATAATACATTACAGTTTGTTATGCAATTATTTAGAAATGTTATTATAGATTGCTTTTATTACATTAGATGATTTGAGTAAAGAGAAAAATGCAAGTTCTGGAGCCAAGCATGGTAGTGCACACCTGTAATCCTACTGCTCAGGAGGCTGAGTCAGAAGGACTGTGAATTCAAAGCTGGCCTGGGTTATACAGTGAGTTCATGGCAAACCTGAACTACATAATAAGACCCTGACTCAGGGCTGGGGATTTAGTCAGTGGCATAAGCAGCACCTGCCTGACAAGTGTGAGGTTGTAATTCCAATCCCCAGTACCACAAAAAAAAAAAAAAAAAAAGACCCTGACTCAAAAAAGAAAATTAACATTCTGATAATGAAGTATGGTTTTGGAAGTGAATAGAAATGCCATAATTATGGCCAAAGTGCATGTTTTTAGCCTGACAGAACTTCAGCCTTATTGGTCCCAGCCAGCAGCTAGAGCTACATGTTCACTGGGTGAGGAAATATTTATGGCAAAGACACTGAAATGTCTCTCGAGTGATCCTGAATTACATGAGCAAGCCTTGAAAGTACGTTTAAACCAGGCATGGCAGCACACACCTGAAATTTCAGCACACTGGGAGGCTAGGACTGGAAGATTCCAAATTCAACCCCAGCCTGGCAACTTACTGTCTCAAAATAAAAGTTAAAGAAGGGGGTGGGGATGGTAGTAGCTCAGTGTAAAGGCCCTCCATGAAATCCTTAACTGAAGAAAAAAGTTTGCACAAATATTCTTCTGAAATTGTGTGTGTGTGCATGCCAAGCGTGTATGTGCACACACTGCAGAGTGAACCGAGGGCCCACTGCACACTAACATGTGAGCTACCACTAAGCTACATCCCAGCCCCCAAATTGCTGAATCCTACCCAGGCACAGTGGTGTACACTTATAATCCCACCACTCGGGAGGCTGAGGAAGGAGGATCACTGTGAATTTGAGGCCAGCCTCTGATAAACAGTAAAGTTAAAGCCAGCCTGCACTACATAGCAAGACCCCATCTCAAAAAAAAAAAAAAAAAAATTTAAATTACTGAATTTTTTTTTCTAAGATAGGCTCTCACATTGCCCAGGCTGGCCCCAAACACCTGGGTTCAAGTGATCCTCCTGCCTCCGCCTCTTGAGCCAGCACTATAGGCACATATCAGGCCCAGCTCTGGCTTTGACTTTTTAAAAATTTACTTCAGTACAGAAAAATACAATTTGACACTTAAATATTTCTTCTAGAGTTCCTAGAAATATTATGCTGCTTTTCAAATGAAAACATTTTTTTTTTTTAAACATTTCTTTTAAAGGAAAACATTCTCAGAGACTGTAACAGCCAAGTCATTTGTTTACTCCACAGCTGCTCGGACAGTGAAGAAACAAGCCACACAGGGGAAAACCTGAGAAACTGGATGAGAAAAAAGTACAGGGTTCTGGTGATACAGTTAACCTGCTAAACACACACTACAAACATCTACCTGCAAACTTCTTATATGATAGATAATTAATTGACGGTTTAGATCATTGCTACTCCATGTGGTACCAAAGTAATGATTCTCTAAAGATGTTCAATCCTAATTTCCAGGAATCCATGAGTATGTTTGTTAAATGGCTAGAAGGTTACAAGTTAACCATATTACCAAAACCCTGAACTACATAGAGATCTGTGTCCACAAAAAAACCAAAATAACAACAAACCCCACACCTCCAGAACTGTAAGGTAACAAGTTTAAGCCACTATATTTGTGGTAATTTGTTTCAGCAACAATAAGAAATTACTACAATCCAATATCTTTTACTGTTGGTCCCAAAAATTTTATTGGCTGCATAAATCTCCGTGAAAAAAAATCATTAATCAATATTTATTAAGTAATTATTCCATGTTAGTCATGATTCTAAGAATAATCTTCAGAGTACCTTAGGAGATAAATAGACAAAGTTATAAAATTGAGCTAAATTGCTCAAGGCCATGCAAGTAGACAATGCTGAAGTTTAAGCAGAGAGTCTCTGTTCCTAATCACTGTGCTTTAGGATAGATCCAGATGTTTGCAGGGTTCTGAGACACTGCATGCTTTCCAGGGACCCTTTCCAAACTCCTGTCCTGAACAAAGACTTGGACAGGAAACAAGGTAATATGGTTTTACATGTATTAAAAGTACTAAAGAAAAGGAAAAAGAAGAGCTCTAAAAAGAAGTGTTCTGTAGAGTGAGGGTAGGCCAATTAGAGTAGGAACAGAAATATGTTCTGCAGAATGCAGAGCAGGCCACTCAGAAACAAAAAAGGTAGTGGCTACAAGGCCAGTGGCACCCTCTTTTATGCACTCCATTATGACATCAGAGTTAGGCCATCCAATCAAAACCCTGCTTGATTTTGCACTATAAGAATTGAAGGTAGAATTCCCATGAACAGGGTTTGGAAGGTATTCTATGGATGTATCTTGGATATCCATGATTGGCAGGTCATGCCCAGTTGCCCACACCTTGCCATGCCCTAATCTGCCTCACAAGGACCCGACTTTGAGAAACTCTCACTTAAGGAACTAAAATCTTCCTAAATTGTCCCAGCCTGCAGGTAAGTCCACGGAGACCCTAGAAGGGAGTGGGGATGAAAAGGCACAAGAGACACAAAGAATGGAGACAAGACAGAAAAGTCTCTTTATTCAAAGAAAGAGTAACAATTATATAGGGTATTTGGGGAGGAGGGAGTTGGGTTCTGAGACATCAGCGGGTAACTTAGCAACAGTGGCAAGTTTCAAATTTCCCGTGGGTGGGCTGATTAACATAATCCTTGAATGGACCAAACAGGCTAGGCAAGGAGCTGCTTAACTACCAAACTTAACTCCGAGGGGGTTAAGGTGGTGCTGCCTGCAGATATAAGGTGGCAGCCAATTACAGGGCTTCCCACACTAAGGAAATTAAAATTTCACTGCATGCTATGTTTTGGATAAGTGTCCTCCAAAGCCCCTATGTTAAAGGCATGATTGTCACTTTGTGGTTCTAAGGGAACGGATGGAAGAGCCAGATCCTAGTAGGAGAAAGCTAGGTTATCTGGGTTCTGCCATGTTTCTTAGCATGACTGACTGTGTCATCACAGACCAAAACCAATGACTCCAAGTGACCATGAACTGAAAGCTCTAAAATCATGAACTAAAACAAACTTTTCCTTCTTATAAGTATGTTGTCTCTAATAGAGTGCTGACTAGCATACTAAGAGACACTTTGCCTTAACTATTAGAATAATTTTTAGATTATCAAAAAAGTAAAGATTAAGATTTTAAAGTTATTTTAACTCAGGTACAGTGGTGCATGCCTGTAATCCCAGCGCTTAGAAGACTGAGGCAGGAGGTCATAAGTTTGAGGCCAGTGTGGGCTACATAGTGAGTTCAAGGCCAGCCTAGAACACATAGGGAGACCTTGTATCAAAAAATACAAATAAATATTTTAGAAATTGTAAACACCAGGCATGGTGGCACATGTCTGTAATGCCAGCTACTTGAGACACTGAGGCAGGGAGATAAAAAGTTCAATGCCCACCATAGCAAGACGTGGCCTAAAAAAAAATAAATAAAAATGAAAAACTAAAAAATCAAGCTTTGCCAGGTGTGAGGGCACATGCCCCTAACCTCAGTTC